CTTGGAAACAAGCAGGGAGAACTGGAGGTCCTGGTGATATCAAGGAACTATGACGTGATTGGAATAACAGAGACTTGGTGGGATAACTCACATGACTGGAGTACTGTCATGGATGCTTATAAACTGTTCAGGAAGGACAGGCAGGGCAGAAAAGGTGGGGGAGTAGCACTGTATGTAAGGGAGCAGTATGACTGCTCAGAGCTCCGGTACGAAACTGTAGAAAAACCTGAGTGTCTCTGGATTAAGTTTAGAAGTGTGTGCAACAAGAGTGATGTAGTGGTGGGAGTCTGCTATAGACCACCGGACCAGGGGGATGAGGTAGATGAGGCTTTCTTCCGGCAGCTCACGGAAGCTACTACATCGCATGCCCTGATTCTCATGGGTGACTTTAATTTTCCTGATATCTGCTGGGAGAGCAATACAGCAGTGCATAGACAATCCAGGAAGTTTTTGGAAAGCGTAGGGGACAATTTCCTGGCGCAAGTGCTAGAGGAGCCAACTAGGGGGGGCGCTTTTCTTGACCTGCTGCTCACAAACCGGGTAGAATTAGTGGGGGAAGCAAAAGTGGATGGGAATCTGGGAGGCAGTGACCATGAGTTGGTTGAGTTCAAGATCCTGACGCAGGGAAGAAAGGTAAGCAGCAGGATACGGACCCTGGACTTCAGGAAAGCAGACTTCGACTCCCTCAGGGAACGGATGGGTAGGATCCCCTGGGGGACTAACATGAAGGGGAAAGGAGTCCAGGAGAGCTGGCTGTATTTCAAGGAATCCCTGTTGAGGTTACAGGGACAAACCATCCCGATGAGTCGAAAGAATAGTAAATATGGCAGGCGACCAGCTTGGCTTAATGGTGAAATCCTAGCGGATCTTAAACATAAAAAAGAAGCTTACAAGAAGTGGAAGGTTGGACATATGACCAGGGAAGAGTATAAAAATATTGCTCGGGCATGTAGGAATGATATCAGGAGGGCCAAATCGTACCTGGAGCTGCAGCTAGCAAGAGATGTCAAGAGTAACAAGAAGGGTTTCTTCAGTTATGCTGGCAACAAGAAGAAAGCCAAGGAAAGTGTGGGCCCCTTACTGAATGAGGGAGGCAACCTAGTGACAGAGGATGTGGAAAAAGCTAATGTACTCAATGCTTTTTTTGCTTCTGTCTTCACGAACAAGGTCAGCTCCCAGACTGCTGCGCTGGGCATCACAAAATGGGGAAGAGATGGCCAGCCCTCTGTGGAGATAGAGGTGGTTAGGGACTATTTAGAAAAGCTGGACGTGCACAAATCCATGGGGCCGGACGAGTTGCATCCGAGAGTGCTGAAGGAATTGGCGGCTGTGATTGCAGAGCCATTGGCCATTATCTTTGAAAACTCGTGGCGAACGGGGGAAGTCCCGGATGACTGGAAAAGGCTAATGTAGTGCCAATCTTTGAAAAAGGGAAGAAGGAGGATCCTGGGAACTACAGGCCAGTCAGCCTCACTTCAGTCCCTGGAAAAATCATGGAGCTGGTCCTCAAAGAATCAATCCTGAAGCACTTGCATGAGAGGAAAGTGATCAGGAACAGCCAGCATGGATTCACCAAGGGAAGGTCATGCCTGACTAATCTAATCGCCTTTTATGATGAGATTACTGGTTCTGTGGATGAAGGGAAAGCAGTGGATGTATTGTTTCTTGACTTTAGCAAAGCTTTTGACACGGTCTCCCACAGTATTCTTGTCAGCAAGTTAAGGAAGTATGGGCTGGATGAATGCACGATAAGGTGGGTAGAAAGCTGGCTAGATTGTCGGGCTCAACGGGTAGTGATCAATGGCTCCATGTCTAGTTGGCAGCCGGGGTCGGTCCTGGGGCCGGTTTTGTTCAATATCTTCATAAATGATTTGGAGGATGGTGTAGATTGCACTCTCAGCAAATTTGCGGATGATACTAAACTAGGAGGAGTGGTAGATACGCTGGAGGGGAGGGATAGGATACAGAAGGACCTAGACAAATTGGAGGATTGGGCCAAAAGAAATCTGATGAGGTTCAATAAGGATAAGTGCAGGGTCCTACACTTAAGACGGAAGAATCCAATGCACCGCTACAGACTAGGGGCCGAATGGCTAGGCAGCAGTTCTGCGGAAAAGGACCTAGGGGTGACAGTAGATGAGAAGCTGGATATGAGTCAGCAGTGTGCCCTTGTTGCCAAGAAGGCCAATGGCATTTTGGGATGTATAAGTAGGGGTATAGCGAGCAGATCAAGGGACGTGATCGTTCCCCTCTATTCGACATTGGTGAGGCCTCATCTGGAGTACTGTGTCCAGTTTTGGGCCCCACACTACAAGAAGGATGTGGATAAATTGGAGAGAGTCCAGCGAAGGGCAACAAAAATGATTAGGGGTCTAGAACACATGAGTTATGAGGAGAGGCTGAGGGAGCTGGGATTGTTTAGTCTGCAGAAGAGAAGAATGGGGGGGGATTTGATAGCGGCTTTCAACTACCTGAAAGGGGGTTCCAAAGAGGATGGCTCTAGACTGTTCTCAATGGTAGCAGATGACAGAACGAGGAGTAATGGTCTCAAGTTGCAGGGGGGGAGGTTTAGATTGGATATTAGGAAAAACTTTTTCACTATGAGGGTGGTGAAACACTGGAATGCGTTACCTAGGGAGGTGGTAGACTCTCCTTCCTTAGAGGTTTTTAAGGTCAGGCTTGACAAAGCCCTGGCTGGGATGATTTAACTGGGAATTGGTCCTGCTTCGAGCAGGGGGTTGGACTAGATGACCTTCTGGGGTCCCTTCCAACCCTGATATTCTATGATTCTATGAAAGTGATCAGGAACAGTCACCATGGATTCATCAAGGGCAAGTCATACCTGACTAACCTAATTGCCTTCTATGATGAGATAACTGGCTCTCTGGATGAGGGGAAAGCAGTGGACATTTTATTCCTTAACTTTAGCAAACCTTTTGATATAGCCAGCAAATTAAAGAAGTATGGGCTGGATGAATGGACTCTAAGGTGGATAGAAAGCTGGCTAGATTGTCGGGCTCAACATGTACTGATCAATGGCTCCATGTCTAGTTGGCAGCCAGTATCAAGCGGAGTGCCCCAAGGGTCGGTCCTGGGGCCGGTTTTGTTCAATATCTTCATTAATGATCTGGAGGATGGCAAGGATTGCACCCTCAGCAAGTTTGCAGGTGACATAAACTGGGAGGAGTGGCAGATACGCGGGAGGGTAGGGATGGGATACAGAGGGACCTAGACAAATTAGAGGATTGGGCCAAAAGAAATCTGATGAGGTTCAACAAGGACAAGTGCAGAGTCCTGCATTTAGGTCGGAAGAATCCCATGCACTGCTACAGACTACAGACCGAACGGCTAGGCAGCAGTTCTGCAGATAAGGACCTAGGGGTTACAGTGGACGAGAAGCTGGATTTGAGTCAACAGTATGCCCTTGTTGCCAAGAAGGCTAACGGCATTTTGAGCTATATAAGTAGGAGCATAGCCAGCAGATTGAGGGACGTGATCATTCCCCTCTATTCGACATTGGTGAGGCCTCACCTGGAGTACTGTGTCCAGTTTTGGGCCCCACACTACAAGAAGGATGTGGAAAAATTGGAAAGGGTCCAGCGGAGGGCAACAAAAAGTATTAGGGGGCTGGAGCACATTACTTGTGAGGAGAGGCTGAGGGAATTGGGATTGTTTAGTCTGCAGAAGAGACGAATGAGGGGGGATTTGATAGCTGCTTTCAACTACCTGAAGGAGGGTTCCAAAGAGGGTGGATCTAGACTATTCTCAGTGGTGGCAGATGACAGAACAAGGAGTAATGGTCTCAAGTTGCAGTGGGGGAGGTTTAGGTTGGATATTAGGAAAAACTTTTTCACTAGGAGGGTGGTGAAGCACTGGAATGCGTTACCTAGGGAGATGGCGGAATCTCCTTCTTTAGAAGTTTTTAAGGTCAGGCTTGAGAAAGCCATGGCTGGGAAGATTTAGTTGAGGATTGGTCCTGCTTTGAGCAGGGGGTTGGACTAGATGACCTTCTGAGGTCCCTTCCAACCCTGATATTCTATGATTCTAGGGAGGTGGAATGGAAGAGCCAGCACTGGGATTTGCCAGAACAAAGGGATTCACTCGAGAGTCACAGGGAACAGACACGATCTTTCATGACTGAGCAATCAGGGTGTTCAATTTACAGAGGCCACCTCCAGCAGCACTATGACCCCTGCAGAGTGTGGCGTCTGGGGAGACTGCCCCCTGTAGAGTCACCCAACCCACTCCCTGTAGCACAGCAGCAGGAACATTGAAACAAGCAGGCACTGCCCCACACCCACCTGCAATGCACCACTATGGGCCCAGCCTCAGGGATGCTCTCTTGTTTCTGGTTGATTTGGTCCAGGAAGCTGAGCACCCCTCCAGGCTCACTGGGGACTCCGTGGTCTGGCCAGCTCAGGTACTGGTACTGCCATATCTCTCTCACAGCCTTACACTAGGGGGCAACAAAATGCACACATGGTAGGTTGTGCCCAGTTCCACCCCATCCTCCCCATGTCCCTCAATCCCTTAGGTTCCCATCCTGCATGACAAAGGGACTGAGGGTCTCTGCCCACTAACCTCCAGACTGAGAACAGGCCAACTTAGTTTCCAAACAACTAATGACAGAGAGAGGGAAACAATAGGTCAATGAAGCCCTCCAGCTGGACTGGAGGGCTGGACTGGAACAGGGACCTAGAGGTGAAGGCGCCCATGCTCCACGCCCTGATCCTCGAGCCTGCCAGTCTCCCACATCTCCCAAATCAGGGACCAGACTGGAACCAGGAAGGTAGAAGTTACAGGTCCCATTTCCCTTTGCCTAATGTTACCTGAAATGCCACAGTTACAAATTCCCAACCTTGAAGGCTTAGCCACAGTTAAAGTCCCAGGAACAATTAATGCTCAGAAGCGTGGTACTCACGTTGTCAACTGGTGAGAGAGAGAGCTGTCGGAGTTTGTATTCTAGGGCATCATGTTCTCCAATATTCTCCACAATATAGGGACCATACTCTTTCGTGCTGCCCTCCTCTGGCCAGTAGGGGACGCACTTGTTCTGTGAGGAAACAAGAAGAAAAGGTGAAGACTAAAACAAGGAGGCTAACAGAGAAGAAAAAGCCCTAGGGAGAAAGGAAAAGGTAAAGTGGTGAGTGGCCGGGGGGGGGGGGGAGGAAGGGGGACGGAGAAAGGAGGAAGGATGGGTGCGAGACATGGCAGCAGGCCCTCTGAGACACATACCCTCCCTTTCTCCACCTCCCGGGTGGTCATCACAATGATGCGTGATTTTTCCTGCCACACCATCTGCCAGAAGTCGTTGACGGTGGCATCCAAGCAGCCCTGGCTTGCGATGTATGTCTTGGTGAATTCATCTGGGCTGATCAGCTGGTTCTACAGAGGGGCAAATGGACAAGGGAAGGACAGGGGTTACAGGAACCAGGAGTCCAGTGCCCCTTTCCCTGCCCCCCCTCCTCAAGACATGGCAGCATTTCTGGAGGCTCACCTTGATGTAGTTGGCATTGATATAATCTGCTCCGGGGATATTTGGGTCCCTGCCTTGTAGGATGACTCGAGAATGATCAACTAGGGAGGCAAGGAAGGGGTTAACACAACAGTGAGGTATTCAGACATTGGTCCCACATGTAGCCCACTCTCTATACTCCAGATCAATCCAATGGGCCCATCAAACCCTGTTTCCCCACCATCCCTCATACTAGATCAGACCCAGTGCCCCGCACTTACCCTCTGAGCCGGATCAACCCAATGAGCCCGTCTATCCAGATGTGCGCGCACACACCCCCACAAGGCCATGCAGAGGAGGCAATATCTCTCACTAAATCCTTTATGGCCTTAAATACCCAGTCAGGGGCCCCTTGTAGCTCATCCCCACGGGACGGCAAATAAACCCCAGCCAGGTTGAGACTTCCTCTGGGGTAACTTTAGGCAGGGCTCTGTGTGGCAAGCCTTCCCGCTCAGGCAAGAACATGCAGCCCCTTGATCTTTTCCTGATGGGAGGGCAGGACTCACAGGGCAAGATGTTCTTATACCGGTTCTTTCCCTTGTTCTCAGGTCTCTGCCCCTCATGCCGATCATACAGGTGCTTGGCCTCCTGTTTCTGCAGGCTCTGAAAGGGGAAGGGTAATCGTTACGGCAGAGCAACGTGCTGTGATTGTGGGGGGAGCACTGAGGGGAATGGGAGCACACAGAGTAAAGATGGTCCAGTAGCTAGGGCAGTAGCCTAGGAGGCTCGTGAGAGCTGGGTTCACTTCCCTGCTCTGCACAGCCTTCCTGAGTCTCAGTTCCCCAGCCGCAAAATGGGGCTAATACCCTGCCCTAGCTCACAGGGGTATGGGGATGATAAATTAATTGAAAAGCGTGAGATGCTCAGATTCTGTGGTAATAGGGGCCAGGTACAGAGATGACATTACATAGAGATTAATCCATTAATGGAGAAGGGAAAGAGAATGAGATTGGGAGCAGGGTTTCCCAGAAGGACATGGAGACAGTTACAACACAATCACTTACATCAAACTCTTCCCAGAATCCAGCCTTGGCTGTTTCCTCAGCCAGGCTCTGCTTGTTTAGTTCATGCACTCTGTTCTCAATGTCAGCTGCGTTCACTCTGGTGGCATAATAGGGCTGGGTAAGGAAGAAGGGAAAGGTTTGGTGAGCAAGAGGGATAGAACGGAGCTGGACACATGCTGTAGACAGGGACAGAGGATGAAGCCTCCAAAACTACTCCTGACACAAGGACCCCATTTACCTGTTTCAGGTACACGTAGGATCCGGACACCTCCTCAATTCCAGTCTTCTTGAAATGCTCCACTAGGTCTGCCAAGCTGTCAAACATCTCAGCACCTCCGACTGTGTATCTCCCATTCTGGAGAGAGTAAAGCTGTGTTATTCACATCCCCTAATGGACCCACTGCTTCCCATGGTATATCTTACAACCAGTGCCACAGGAGATTGTTACACTGGGACATGAAGCCCTGGGTAGGTCTTGCCCTGTTGAGTTTGAAGCGCTGCATCTCATGTGGTATGTGTCACACCCTCCTGGCATGATGGACAACTGAGAGCTTGTTCTGATGACATCAAACTTGTAAGCTGGTGAGCTGACCCTAGGTGTCCTGCTGCATGGAAACCCAGAGAAGTCAACTTCCCCCCATTTCTTGTTTAAGGTCAGTTGTTTTGTTTCCCCATAATTCACCTGCATACACTCTCCACTGTCCCAAACCCACCCATGTTAGAATCATAGAAGATTAGGGTTGGAAGAGACCTCAGAAAGTCACCTAGTCCAATCCCCTGCTCAAAGCATCCTCAAAGCAGGATTATGGTATGGAGTGAGAGAAGACCTAGTAAATGTGTGGGTTGATCAGGCTAGGCTTAGGGACCTCAACAAGGTCTCCTCTCCTGCTTGTAGCTCCTCAGCTTCTCATCACAGCTCAGTAGTTCATTTCTGGAACTCCCTATGAAGTTTGAAGAACCCCACAGAGCCAAGGAGACCAGAAACAACTGACCTTTCTTCTCTCCGCTGTCTTCCTCTTTGGCCTCCATGTCACACTTTGTTCCCTGTCCCAGGTGCATAACTGCCTGGTTCAGTCTCCAGATTCTCCTCTCCTTCAATCTCACAGGCCAGCACCTTACGCTGGCCTTTGAGGCTCTGCACATCTCTGTTCCCTCCAATGTAGGAGCTCCCATTGCTACCAAGCTCCCTTCCGGTCTTCCTGCCACTTGTGTCTGCACTAGACTCCTCCCTCATCCTGGATGCAGCAAAATCAACAATCCCACGCAGCCACTGGTCAGACCAGGCAAGGACTAAGGAACCCGACAGTAGGCAGCCCAGCCCTTAGCATGGATTTCATATACATTATTGGATACAAAAACATTCCAGCAGTTTCCATATCTTCCTGTTGATAGAATAGATCAAACAGCTGCCACAGATAAATGTTTCCTTTCCTCACTCTGCTTGCTCCCTTCCCTGCACCCTGCCCCATCCCTCTCACCTCACACATGATCTTGACATGGGTGACCTTAAGCCGTGCCCCAGGGGTGCCAGCAGCCCCAGTTGGTGGGGCCTCAGGCCCAGCTTTGAGTTGGTCAGTCAGGACAGACAGGACAAAGTCACCAGGTTTGCTGAGGCTCTCACGCACCAGGAAAGTCCAAGGGGTGGCCTTGGACTGGAGAAGAGACTCAGCTGCTGGGCCAGATAGATGCCCATGGTACCACCTGGGAGAAAATGGGACAGGGTCAGACAAGAGCGGGGGGGGGGGGGCAGAGGGAAGCCAAGTGAGGGACAGGACCTGGGGCACATGGCGATGGGGGAAAGAAGTGGAGGGAACAAGAGTTAGAGGGGAGAAGAGTGGAAGGTGCCTGTAGCTGAGCGAAGCCAGGAGGGACAGTACCTGAGGAGCGCCAAGGTGGATGGGGCCTGGGACAGAAGGGACAGGTGAGCCAGGGGCAGGGAGCCCAAGGAAAGCTAAGTGGAAGACAGGTTTAATAACTGTGAGACGCTGTGGGGGTAGAGAGATGTTAAGAGCTGTATGTTCTGGCCCAGAACAAAGCAGGGGTCACTACCCAGTGACTAACTGCAGGGCACAGCCGGGGTCAGTATCCAGTGATGTAAGTAGCTACAGTTACAATTCCCCCTTTATTTGGAAAATCAAATGAAACATAATACAAATGCCCAACCAGTACAGCCAGTTTAATATCACACACACACAGATGGGATGTCTAAATTGCCTGATCTGGGTAAATAACCTGCACCCCCTGACAAAGGAGAAGGTTATTCTGACTCTGATTGGACATGTGTCATCTCTGAAGCTTGATGGCTTTCAGATCACACAGCCACTTCCTGTTCCCAGAACAGGTCCTTTGGCAGGGATCTCTTTGGCCATTGAGGTAGGTCTGTCTGTGTTCACTACTCTTGGTAGTTTTCATTGTCAGTCACTAGGCACATGTGTTACTTCTCCCATTGCACAAGCCTTCTCAGTAGCATTCTACGTGTCCACTAGATACAGAGCGCCAATGGAAACTCCTTGGGTTTGTCTACATGTCTTCTGTTCCTCCTGTAAGACTGACCCTCAGGAGAGGCTATGACACAACCTCTCGGTGAGTGGTGCAGCTGTTGACAAGGTTTCCAGCCCCTTCCTGTTTGGAATTAACATTCTCTCCCACTTGCAATGGGGTGACTCCAGCATTCTTGTCAATTTTCTTCTATTGCAGTTTCTTGCTCTTTGGTAAGCACTCCAGGGTCACTGGTCTCTGGCTAAGGAAGTCTATTAGCTGGTGACACTAAGGTTTGTGTCCTGCTGCCCATGGGTCTCTGAACTGGGGACTCTAAGAAAGCCTGTGAGGTGAGTTGTGATAGACTCATAAAGCTAAATAGGGATTCTGTGAATCTGCCATGACCCTTTTTAATTTTGATTCTCGAGTTCTTTGCTATTTGTACCAACACTTCTGCTAAATGACTACATTTGAGTGCACGTAAGGGCGTGGCATGCAGTGCGGAACTGATACATTAATGCGGAGAGCAGAAATGAGCCACTCGTGAATTGTGGGCCATTCTCTGCTACTAACACATCTGGAATCCCCTGGTGAGCTCAGTGCTTCATAATGGTTATTCCCTTCTACTCAGCATGGTCTGCAACAGCTCAGTCTTCTAAGAAGCTGAGTACTTGCTCACTAATAAGAGGTTCTTATTAGTTATAGTAGAGCTAGATCTACCCTAGACCCAGGGTGATCATGTATCTCGTGATGTCAGCCATCCCTTTGTATTTGGCTTCCTCTATTCACAGAGGTATCTTATTTAAATTTTATTACCTTTGTGGCAGCATTCTTGTGTGGCTGGACAAGGTAACCTCCAGCTCTCTTTTGCATTCTTAGTACCCAGCTGGAGGCCATGGATTATGATCAGTACTTCTCACTTCATGCTGTGTTGTATTACGACACAACATCCTCTGTACAGGGTCCCATCATCAGCAATTTCCTCTTGATGTTCCCAGTCAGATTGGAGGTCCCTGGACTGCTCCTCTCGACCATCCAGCTAGAAGGACTTCCTCAGCTGTTGTGAGCTGGGGTTGTTTGTGTTTTCTTATTTGAATTTGTCAAATTTTCTTTCAGAAGCAGTTGGTTTTACTTCAAATCCTCTTCCTGAGGCCACTGTTCCCAGGCATGTTTGATATGGCAATGAGCTCCTCACCTCCTCTTTCACATTTAATCAGTGCTGTGGCAATTTCATGCTCCTGTTCTGAAGTCCAGGCTGTGCTTCAGTGGTTGCTGTAACTACCTTGTGAACCAGTGGTTGTTTCTACCTTGAACAGATTCATAAAACTACTCACAAACCAAAGCGATTCCCAACATTTCTTCTTTGTCTGAGCATCGGGCTGTGGTGACTTAGTAAAAGCACACGCTACCGGCTGATCATTTTGCATGTCAGCTTAGGGGCAGAGGGAGCTGTTTGGAGAGGAAGAAATGGCTATGTGATTAGCAAGCCATCGAGGTTCAGTTTGTGATTTACACACCCACTAACACTGAAGTAAATGGCTGTGGACCTTGGCTGTCACATAACAGTGATATATAAACCCTCTTTCCCCCTGACCTTGATCACGTGAATGGGGCCAGGCAATGAAGAAAGCCTCATTATGCCTTACAAGAGCTGGCCTGTCTTCAGATACCTAGGGCAGGCTCCTCCCAGCCTGGGGTTCTGGGGGGGGGCAGCCCTTCCTGCCAGGGCGAGGGGCTCTTTTTGCCCTGTCTCACTGCAGGGCTGGGCCTCTATTCTTCCCCTCTGCAGAGAGGAAATAGTTAATCCCCCTGTGGCCCAGCTCAGGGAAGACACGTGATGGAAAATCTCTCAGGGAGAGAGTGAGAAAAGGAGCTTTCGTAAGAGCTGGGGGGAGAGAAGTTTCCAACCGCAATAGTAAGGGAGGAAGCTGCAGAGCCCCAGCCCAAGCCAACGGCCCTGACTGGAGCAGAGAAAACGCTGAGGGACACACGTGCTGCGCCCCACACAGGACCACAACCCTGCCCCAGGGCGAGGGGCACCGCTGTGGAACAGCTACCCACCGCCAGGGGGCTGAGAGCACAACACAGTGCAAACCACCTGATTTGATTTAGGAACACAGTGCCAAAGACATATGCAAATAGGGGAGGGGAGGGAGACCAAGTGGGGACTGGAATAGCATGGACTGAGAGGTCCATCAGCAGGATGCCCAGCACTGGAATAGCAGTGGGGGTTGCAGGGCAGAACTGAGGGGCAGAGTCAGAGCTGTGTGGGGAGCCCAGCCTGGAATAGCAGGAGGCTGCAGGGCAAGACTGAGGGGCATTGGCAGAGCTGTGTGGGGAGCCCAGGACTGGAATAGCAGGCGGCTCCAGGGCAGGAGTGAGGGGCATTGGCAGAGCTGTGTGGGGAGGCCAGCACTGGAATAGCATGGGGGCTGCAGGGCAGGACTGAGGGGCATTGGGTCATACACTGGATTGAGGCCTCTTCTTGTAACTAGCATCACAATTTTCACTTTTAGCAACAAGATTTAAATAGCAAAACCGATGAGACAGCGGAAGTCAAAGTTGCCAAATATAAGCAGGGCCCACATTGAAATTTCACAGACTTGCGTGCAAAGGAGCAGAGAGGGGGGCATTTTATAGTTAGTTAGTTCTGGAGTTGGGGCTGGGCTATGCTTTCAGTCCCAGACAGTCTGGTACCAAAACTGTGTTCAGGGGGGTGAAGAGGGGCATACCACGGGACTAGCCCCTCAGTCTCCAGGTGTGCAGGGCGAGGCTGTGGAGTTGGGCATTAGCTCCTCAGTAAAAGACTCATAGTTGCTCTGCTTACTCCATACCTCTCTGTAGTGGGATCGGAACAATTCAGTGGATACCTCAGGTCTATTACAGTCCCATCTTTATCCTGTAGTGAACCCTGCTGC